TTCCGAGCCTCTTCCCCACTTAACCTCGAGACTACTGAGTCTCTCGTGGCTTGTGACAGCCACTGACAGGCACGACGGCTATCCGCCTCGTGAACTGCGCCAGCATGGACGACCGCGTCGGCCGTACCGACCGAAGGAATCCAGCTTTCGCGTTAGCGGTTCGAGTCTGCACGACTTGACGTCGAGCGAGTTGCTCACGTCTGGCAAGGCCAAGACAGCCTCGCGCCTCGAGCCAAAGGCTCTGTGTGCGCAGCTATGTTACCCGCCGTGGTTGTGGAGCTTCGTTATCCACCTTGGTTGCGGAACTGTGCTACCCGCCTTGATGTGTGGAACGCTGTTACCCACACCAGAGGTGCATACAGCGACTTCCACATCAGTTATGGTCTGCGTGGCATTGCGTGGAACTCTGTTAACCACTCTCGGAACGCCGAATGCCGGTCTCCGCAAGCAGCGAAGCTGCTTGCGGAGCTTGTTACCCGCAGTGTGGACCTAGGTTACCCACCTTGTGAATGCCCTTTGGCGCCACCACTATAGAAGCGCATACGGCGTGACGACCTTCGGTGTTGAGATCGACTGGTGTGGCAGACCCGCACACACACCGGGCAGAGTTGGTGAACACCGACCGAGTCAGCGGAGTCCGGACCCTCGCTTGAAGCGACGTCGGCCTGAACAAGGTTCAGACCTGACTTGCGGCAGTTAACGTGACGTGGCCCTTCGTTACCCACGTCGTGATGTCTAGTTGACGACATCAGAGGCACTCGAAACCTCGCGTGGCACTGTGTTACCCACAAAAAAGCATGGTCATGCCTTCCTCGATAAGGTCTGGTCGATCGTGTGGACCTAAGTTACCCTCTTGGTTAGCGCTTAAAGGCATAACCACTATCGAAGCTCGTACGGTGCGACGACCTTGGGCATTGGACGCTGCTGGTGTAGCAGGTCCACACGCCGGGCAAAAGACCCATGCACTTGGCATTGCCGCAGCCAAAATGGTCGTGCTGTACGCAGAGCTGTCGGCGCGTTGACAGCTCCGTGACGCTTCTGCGTCCTGGTGGTCTGAATAAGACGCTCCCGTCATGACGGAGGTGGGAACATGACTCACCAATAGACCTGGACAGGTAGCCCTTATCAGCTTTGCCACACAAAAGTCCGGGCTGTGCCTTATGTTCGGCACAGCCATGTTGTTCATGACGAGAGATCGAGCGACACCGCGGTGCGCGAGTTCCTCGAACCCAAGCGTTCAGGTCCGTTGAAGACCATTGTCACCAAAGGCTAGTCAGCCATGGAACAGCCCACGACCGACACTCTGGCAAAGAGTGCAGTCGGGTGTCACTATGCCAAGCGACGTTCCGGTGGCGTATCGACGCCTAGAACTTATCAAACGCTCAAAGGGTACCGTACCCTCGTACACCGGGCGTACTACCAGCAGCCCATCACTGCCTAGCACCGGTTTGAGAGAACCACATCTCTCTGGGCTAAGCCCCGTGTTGCGCACAACCTACACACCCATCACGAAGCCTTAGCGCTCTTCAGTATGGCATACCGCCTCTACTGGTGGCTAGAGAGTCTTCGTCCACCTGACCGTGGTCTGCGCTACCGGACCTGGGGTTTACAGGCTGACTTTTTCCCTAGGACTGGCAAGGGACACACAGCCTCGTAGTGTCCATGTCCGCCACATCCGTAGCAGCGGACTAAGCTCTCGGCTGAGCTTAAGTCCATGGGCTCAGGCTCGCTGTACGCACCGTTATCAACGGGCTGCGTGACAGCAGGAGCAACTGCGTCATTGCAGCGATGCTTCGCCTCCCGAGGACCGCCATCCTCATCGTGGCGATGTTCCTCTTCCCGAGGAGTACTAGCCTGCCTGTGGCTGTACTCCTCTTGAAAATCGCTTTGAATCGCCTCCTCTATAGTTGTCGCTTGCACCCGAAATAGCTAGGTGCGAGCAGGACAAGCCTTCAGGCCGTCCATGAAGACTGATGTCTTGATGTCTTCAGGCAGAGGATTCTCTGCCAGAGATGCCATCAACGTGCGCGTCTCTAGCACGTAGTCCTGTAGCTCACGTCTGCCTTGCTTACACACGAGAAAGCGTGAGCGCTGGCGGAACGCGCTGTCCGCCGGTAAGAACGCGGCTCGAAGCTGTTCACACAGCTGAGCCCAGGATGCAAAGCCTCCAGGCGATGTCGTCTCCCTGGTGTATGCACAATGCTTGGCACGTCCACCAAGGTTGGATAGGACAAAAGCCACCCGAAGTGGATGAGACCCCCCTCCATGGCGATCTCCACCTCACGGAACCAGAAGTGAAGGTTCTCACCTTCCTTCCCCTCAAACGCGGGGACCTTCAGCCGTACAGCCTTAGGCTGGGTTGCCTGGGGAGCGCCATCGAGGCCTCCAAGCTCCCGCGGACGTGAGCGATGAGACCACGCTCGTAGGTCTCAAACGGCGCAGCGCGTTCGTGTGGCTCGGCAGGCGTCGCCGCCGCCAAGCTGCGGAGGACATTTTGTCCAAAATTGCCTCCCATCTTCTCTACAAGTTCGTACTGTGAGTCGTTCAAGCCCGAAAACTCACTTCGGTCCATCGTGGCTCAAAAGTGGGGCGCGCAGGGGATTTCGGTAGCTCAATCTGCCCGCGAAGGCGTAGGATTGACCAACTAGTGATACCAAGTGTGACGGGTCACAGAGCACCTTGCACAGAGGAAGTGCTCAAGGGTATTTACTACCCAAGTGAGCTTCGGTTCACGTATTCCCGACCTCAGAGGGAACGGTTTGCTACTTACAAGAGTTGGTGAAGACTAATGTATTTATAAGTAAGCTTAGCTTGGGCTCTAATACAGGTACAAACTAGAGGTCATCATTAGTGGAGCTATGCAGATATGCTCTGACTGGCTCCTAGAGCACCTGGTACCGTGTAGCAGATGTCCACGCTTTATGTTATTTGGGGTAAGCTGGATTGTACCCCGCTACATTGGCAATGCCACTAGCGCTGGTGACGCGCTACTGCTTCATAAGCGCTCCAATCAGTAGACTCATCTCCTGGTGCGAGCGCGCGCGTCCTCCTTGTCTCGACGAGCGCTCCCTTCTTTCTCTAACTTGTCTTGACGATGTCGTTCTGCTGCTTCGGCCTTTTCGACAGACAGCGCGCATCTCATGTATGTTTTCGTCGTGACGCGCCTGTCCTCTTCCTCGCGACGAGAATCGGCCTTGCGCTTCTGCTACTCTGGAACTAGCATCATCATTTGAATACACTTACACTCATGCTACCAGACCTATCGATCTCACCGAGTTGCTTCTTCAAAGCAGTCGTTACCTTCACGGCACGTACGCGTTTCGCCTTGATGTAGGTAGCTTCATGTAGGTCTTTGATAACTTCATCATGAGCCCGCTTGACACTGATGTTGTCACGAAACGCATGAAAATCACCTCCTCCAAGCCGGTTGAAGAAACCGAGCATAATTTTATATCGTTGAACTTCTTGCTCATTGCGACTGCCTAGCTTCAAACAACGAGTAGCGGGTTTCTGAGCCGTCTGCCTGACTTCGGCAATCCCGCAGAGCGATTGGACCATGAGCGCAACGGATCCGGACGTGGCGTCGGCTCGAAGGCATTCAACCCTTCGCTAACCAAAGGTGAGTTTAGAATATCTTGAAACTCTCCACGCTGCACTGTAGCCTCTGAAGTAGCTCCGGCTTCGCAGCCATCGGCGTCTTGTACGGTAGAGCCCTCGAGGCCGCATTGACGGGAGCCGTCACTATCTAGATTATCCCCAGTAGCGATGTCGCTGCCAACACGACGGCAGCGCTGTCTTTGTCGCGGTCCTCGTAGAAATTGTCATCGGGATCGAGGTCGAAACAAAAGTCGGGATACTCGATATCATCGTTATCCCTGAGTCTATTGGCCTCATCGTCGTCGGGCGCATCCACGTCAATCTCGACGGTATTAGCTTTGTCATCAATAGACCGTGTGATCGCTTTTGCTTGCTTGTGTGGGGAGGCATGCCTACTTTCCCAGTTGGCTTGTGAGTGCTTTAGTGCACTTTAAACTTGCGATGGAGACATTTGAAGTCCCGTTCGACACAATCGCGTACCAGGTCAGCGTTTGTAGCTCGCTACGAGCCGTTCCCACCCGTCTTTTCCCAAAGGAAGATACTCTTGTATAAACGTCAAAAGGCGTTCGACCTCAGCAAGTTAGTAGTTAGAGCTGCCGCTGATTTCCCCGCCTACACATAGAACATGAGATGTATGCAAGTGCGCAGACCGCAACGGCTTCACGGATAGACAGCGCACCGGTAAGGCGAATAGTAGCTTGTTGGCTCGAAAAAAGAAGATGGCGCCACCGATGGCTCAGAAGAGCTCACCGTCCTTGGGATATCCTGAAGTTAGAACAAAACGTACATTTCAAGCAGGATATGTAGCTGTCAACGAGCGCAGACAAGTTTTTAAATGATAACAGCTGTCACTTTGTGCATTGATTTTTCACCTTAAATGCTAGACATGCATCGATACAACCTTGTCGGATATGGTAGGCATCGGCCAGTTGTAATCTTGAAGAAGCGCGGCATGGGCTGGCACGAGGGATTAACAAGGCGCAATACATCTCCGAGCCGCTCCGCGTTGATGACGAGACAGACTCGATGGCTTAGGCGTTTAGATCGCTGCGCCATCACCAGATGATATATGTTATTGCGAGAGCGTCTGGAGCAAGCCGCACTTACGTGTTCCAGCTCGCCCAGATACCGCTCGAGCACTTCCCCAGCCTTGGTAGCTTCTCCGGCGACGACACCCAGCGATTATGTGCGTAGATGACGGTCCATGTAGACCTTGGTAGACTCGTCAAGGCCATTTCCGCAGCGGCCGCCAAAAGGACAGCAGTTCATGATGCAGTACACCTGCATCAGTGAATTGCAGCATTTATCTACGACACGGCGGGGTGCACGTGCGCCAGCCATAGTGGTGCACGACAGGGAAGGGTCCAACGGATTGAACAGTTTGCGCAGGTGGGCGATACGAAATGGCCAACGAGCTGGCGCAATCTGTGCTAGTGGTCACGATGTACGCGGACGTGGTTGCGGTGCTGGCTCATGGCCCGTTCACACCAGGCCCCGTCGAGCAGCGACTACAGTGTCGGTACGCTGGCGTCATGGCGCACGCAGCTGTTCGTATGACTCGTTTGCAGCGCGTCGTTCACGACGCGCTGCATAAAAAGTATTATGAAAAGAAGCTATGGTATTAGTGACCGTAATAGCGTCAACCCACAGTATTAAAAACACACACACGCACACAAGCACTCCCTACAATTTCTACTTAGACGCTCCCTGAATTTCCATCGCGCCGCCAAGCGTAGTGCGGATATGGGAGATTCTAACAATTCAAACCGTTAGTTTGCGCCTCGAAACAAATTGTTGATGCGGAGCCGCCGGATCTCCGGGTTGTAGGGGAGCGGCAGCTTGCGCCGATGATATACGCTGTCGACGCTGCCCATTTTCACTCAGCCGCCTGTCGCACAGAAATGATGACGTCGTACAGCGTCCTGGCCTAGGTTCGAAGCGATGGAAAGATCCGGTCCAGATCGGCCTCCTTTAGAGGAGCGAAATTACGCCCGGCCACCACTGTCAAACAGGGGAACGCCGGGGCGGATTCGACATTAATACGCGTGCAGGGCAATACGTGGGGTCGAGGAGCTTCATTCGAAAGCCCAGCGAGGTGTCGGAGTCGTTTGACGACCTCGGCAATTAGTATTGCACCAGGTGATGAATCCATCCTGCAGCGGGGCTGCCGTAGCTTTAGCGTCAGAGGAAGACGCTCGACTCAAAGAGTCACTAATACTAAGCTCCTTATCCAAAGGAGCTTACAGCCCACGATCAGGGCTCATAGTTAACCATAACTTTATGCCTCAAAACTAGATGTGTTTATTTATTTTTATTGCGGCCAAGCGCCTAGAGGTAAATGTATCTGTATAAATATCTAGCATAGCTAAATCTAATCAAATGCATAACGCGTGGCGTTAAGCCAACGTACTGAGAAACCTTGTTAACTCTCCAAATTATGTACTGAGAGTTTGTTAACTCTCCGGGTGCTCCGCACCCGTGTGTGTTCCACACCATGTAACCCCGTTACACTCTCCCCCACTAAGAAGAGAACATTCCGTCTCGAAACTTCCTCAGCGAGGACACGTCTTGTCAAGACGGCGGAGTTAACTACACCTCACAATAGCGTTGTACAGCTCCACGGTCTTACAAACGCTTAAGCATCGTTGATGCCCAACTTGTCGTCGTCGGCCCACGGCCCAATGTTCCAAGTGCATCGCGCATCTTGTCCTCAAGCGGTCTCAGACCTACGCTCGAGCTCCGCGCCTACTTCAAGAGCTGCAAGCCACTTAGAGCTATGCTCTTGACCCGTCCGACATGTCAATAACAGCTCAGCGGTTGAACACTCGCTTCACAAGCGATAGTTCGGTGGTTCGATCCACCAGGGCGTCGCCCTCTCGTTTCATGAACGATTGTCCACGCTTGGACAAGCTTAAGGGCAACACCTGTTTAGCTCAATGGTTGAGCGTTGGCTTTTACAGCCACAGGTCGGTGATTCAAACCCACAAGGGTAAAGCTCTCTCGCTCCATGAACTGCTGTCCATGCTTGGACAAGACTAAGGGCAACGCGCGTTTAGCTCAGTGGTCGAACCTTGGATTTAGAAGCCACAGGTCGGTGGTTTGATTCCACCCGGGCGCAGCCCTCTCATACCATGCGTAGTCCGTACTCGGACAAACTTACGCGCATCGCCCTTATAGCTCAATGGTAGAGCTCCGGCCTGGACAGCCAACGGCCGGTGGTTCGATCCCCGTCCAGGGCACACCACTTTCGTTGTTACAGCTCATCCATATTCGAATCATGCTCATCGAGCACGGTGTTTAAAACAACTATGCGTCTATCGGGACACTTGTGCCTGAACCTTGTTTAGCACAACACGAAGCACTTGCTTCCTTCGGGACCACGTTCTCAACACCACGAGGTCTCTCCACCTCCTGCTCCGGCTGCGAGCACCGCTCATACGTACGAGCTGGCTGCTGCAGCCACCGGTCAGATCCTGAGATCAACTACTGATCTGTTCGCTCCCCCGTCTAGTGGGAGGCGCTCAGCGTGTCGCAAGCCACGGTGGCGCTTTGTCACAGGATGTGCCCAGTCATAAGCGTTTACGGCGTCGGGGCAAATCTTGCCGGAGGGTAACCTCAAACTCCCATGAGTTCTGGGTGTGAGGGTAACCCCTCCACTTCACAAAGTACTGAATACGACCCTGGCATCTACGCCGCGCCACAAGGCGGTTCACGTCATAGTGGAGCTCACCATGCTCATCGAGCAGCGCGAGGGGGGGGGGGGGTTGGCTCAGCTGGGTTCTCGCGAGAACAGTCAGCACTTGCCGGAACGGCGTCTGCGTCCATGGGACGCCGGTATTCATTACATGAACGTTCACGTTCACCGCCCATCGGTCGGTCTCAAAGAGATGATCCACCGTGTGGACAGGGTGCAGTCACAACAATTGACTCACAAACAGGACTCGGACCTTGTGCGCCCAGTCGCTCGGCTGAACGTTGATCTCGACTTGCTCCTGTATCGTAAGCACTTCGCTCCGAGACCTGTGGCTCTGCCACTTGCTGTTGATCAGCCTGCTGTGGGCCCACGACTTGCTGTCGTCCCCCCCCCCCCCGTGGATCTACTACCACATTCTGCCCTACAGCTGTCCGTGGCCCCGCCACCGTTGGCGCAATCGTCTCAGCGCTCACCTGAGCAGGGTCTTGGTATGGCTTAAGCAAGCCAACAGAGAAGACCGGATGCGTGCGCATCTTCTTCGGAAAGTTAAGCGTATACGCTAGGCCCTTCCTGGCACGACCTTAAACGGTCTTGTGAGTCGAGGCCTCAATTTCATCTTGAAGTCTGCAGACACTGCATGAGTTGGTAGGTTTTTCGCGTTTAATAAAACTTGGTTACCGACCTCAAACCTCTCACTATTGCGTCTGTCCTTGGCTTCGGCATATTCCTTCTGCGTGTCTTGGCTTTCAGATATATCGTCACGTACTTGGCGCATTACGCTCAGTCTCAAAGAGACAAAGTCATCAACTGGCTTGCGAACCGCAACAGGGCTGACATCAGCTAGCCGCTCGGCTATCTCTCCCCATCAAGTCCTGAGCCACTGCGTGGCGGCGTCAGTGGGACGCGAGGGCTCGCCAAGCCGTTCACATAGAACGGAGTCAAGCGCCAGGATCTCGTCTCATTGAACCGACTAGATGAAGTGGTGGTGGTTGGATACGTGAAGCGGACGGTCCAGGTTTGGTTGTCACCAGATCCGGAGGGAGGATTAGATCTAGCCCCCAGATTCTCGATGAAGCGTATGTAAAGAGAGTTCGTATTGAGCGAATTCTTAAAGCACAGAACGAAGAAAGATGGATCTTGGGACTAAACAAGTATTGTGCCTTGCAGAAACTTTGGCGTGCGATTTAGGCCCGTAACTCAACGACAAATCATATGAGATAAACTTGGCTTATGCTCGTAACTCAATGCTAAAAATAAGCTAAACCTCAACAGCGGATGGCCCTTCCAACAAGGCAAAAGCGCTCTTACTGCTCACACCCCACTTTGTACCTCGGTAAGAGCCATATTCATTCCCTTCGAGAGTCACATACGCACATTGTAACGTTGTTGTACAGCTGCATCATCCTTATGTCACTCCCAATGCCGCAGGAACTACAAGTGCTTCTCACTGTGAAGGTCGAAAAGCCTTACACCAACTGCAGAACTCCGTATGGAGCACCTATTGTCTTTGCGTTCATGCCGACAGACGGGCTTGTCGTTCTACATGCTCGAATCAGCAACCAGCTAGCTGAAGATGTTACTTGGGACGCGGATGCTCCCATTTTGATCAAGCCATCAGCCAACATATCGCAAGTAAACTATGTAGCGCTCCCTTCTTCACAAGACGAGTTTTCTAACAGCATCGACCGCTTATGGAAGCAAGCCGCCCGCCGCAAACATGGGTACGAAACACTTCGTAATTCTGTTAACATGCCAAATGACATAACTACACGATGATTTAGGCAAGCCGACTTTCAGCTTGGGTTGTACATTTACGTACAACGTAGAAATACCCATCCAGTTATTCGCCGTGCAACAGAAGCACTCGTTGAAGCATCGGCGGCTGCAATAAGAGAAGTGCTGGAGATGGCAGGAAGCAGTAGCACTTACGGGCCTGCTGCACAGCGCTACTGGGCTATTTCTCATTCCCGTCAGCCCGAGGGCACCCCTATCGAGCCTCCAACTAGTGCTACATCTGCGCAACTACAACGAATTGGCGCGATGCACTCTGACATTTCCGCTACATTAGATAGCAATGGCTCGAGTCCGAGTCACCAATTTGTGCGCGTGGCTTGCAGACTTAACGAAGGTATTATTCACTTGGAATTAGACGTAGCTGAGTTGCGTCGAGCTGTTGGGATGCCATCCTACGATCTATTTCCTCCATTTCGCCCCGATCTTGAAGCTGATCCTACTGAGAACGTGAGTGACACTGATCATGCTGAACAAGCTGGCGAGTAAGAAATTAGAGAAGAATTCATCGCATTGCGCATTTACCTAAAGAAAATTTCTCGATTGAGACCTACTCTGTCATAGCCGCAATGACCATACAAATTTCCACTCTCTTCTTTTCCTTCCTCTATGCATTTACGCATAGCAGCCTGCAAGGTTCTTCTTGCATCAAATCGAAACGCAAGATGTGCGTGACGGGTTAGCCACCGCTTCAGAAGCCCAAAATTAACCTCAATCGGATTCAACTGGGGTGAATAAGGTGGTAAGAAAAGTAAAAGCGCTCCTGTCGAGTGTACGAGGTCTTCCAGCTCCTTGTACATGTGTATTTTGGCGTTGTCTAGAATGACAATTGAACTAAATCATGATTAGTGCCAAGTACAAACAATGAAACCATGAAGGATGCCGTACCGTGGTAGCGGCCACGGATTTAAAAGTGGTGCTACATTCTTGAGAAACGCAGCATGAAAGCGATTCCGGTCAAACGCTCCTGGAGTAGTATCCCAGGCAATAAAGCCTGAAATGTCCATTGCAGCTAAAATGGACACGCGGTCACCTACATTTCGCAAACATCAGAAGAGGGAAAACCAAAACAGAATAAGTCAAAATACTGAGTACATACCTCGGTCGAATGGTTGCCGCACAATTGCTGGTGTGTTTCTGGCTGACCAGGCAAACCGACGTAGCACATCACGACCATCTTTTGCTGTTTCATCCAGAAAAACTAATTGCTCTGGGTTGCTGTAAAACGGGGCGAGCTTTTTGTAGTACGCATCGATTTCAGCAGGAATGCTCTCTCTTGCACGCTTGGTCAATACTTTGCGAGTAAGACCGAGGTCAAATCGAAGCGCACGACATATCGTCGCTGTCGACACATTTTTTAGCGTAGGAAACCTTTGCTTGAGTGTAGATTGCAGCTCCTCAATGTTGAATCATGGATGCTCTTCTACGTAGCCGTTCACAAATTTGATGCACTCTGGAGGCCAACGGGTCTTGCGCTCAGTTCGTGCGTTGGGGATTACGTTTCCACGACGACGAAATAGCATACCCCAACGAGAAATCGACCTCGCAGAGACTCCCATCACCGACGCCACCACAGATAAATCAATGTCGTAAAGGTATGTTAGTACTACTGACCGCCAACGCATGTCAATTGAGACGGTCATTGTTTCTTGGCAACTCCAGGGGGTCGACGATAAACAGCGAGTGTGAAAGCGTTGGTTAGGCGCTTTTTTCATGACCATTCAACCATTCCTCGTATAACACAACTCTAACTCTTCTAATAAGAGAGCTATTCAACCATAATTCGACGAATTGCCTAACTAAATCATGATCCCAAGATTTGCTTAAACAACGAGTTACGACGTTGCTTAGACAGAAAGAGTGCAAGGCAAAATATATGATGGGAGATGTACGGAACCCGAGTCGGGAAGACGCCAAATCCTCCATTATTATCACTACGGATTATGCAGTGTATCTGAACGATTTACTCTTATATTTCCCCCTACGAAACGAGTCAGTGGGGACCGAGACGGATTGATGCGATTTGTGATGCCAGAAACCTTGTAGCAGGACGTCCTGCATCACTATCACGCTAGCTTAGAAGGAGGACATCAGGTAATCGGTCGGACTTACCAACGGATCCGAGAATCTTTCCACTGGAGGGGACTGTTCAAGAGTGTGCAGCGATATGTCGGTGAATGCGTGGATTATGAGACAGGAAAAGGCAGGCCCGCAATCGAGGGGGGGGGTCTCCAGGTAGCGTCCAGGCGACCTACCCGTTCCAAATCATAGCAATGGATCACATCCCCTTGCTATCCAAGTCATTCAAAGGAAGCATCGAGTTGTTGATCTGGGTGGATCTGTTCACCGGATACGTGATAGCCAAGGCTAGCGCGTCCAAACCTGCACAGACCATCGCCGAATCGTACGAAGGGTGTGTCTTTCGCCGATTTTGAGCTAGTAAGATGATTCGTCATGATCGGGAGCCAGGTTTCATGTCCGATTTCTTTTAGGCCTTCAACGGTATCCTTTGGCAAAGACAAAGGGCTACTATGGCATATCGTTTTCAAGCCAATGGATCTATCGAACGCATGGTACAGACGATCACAATGGCGCTCAAGATGTATGTCCAGGATTTGGCTCAGCGAGACTGG